AAAAATGGGGAGCTTGGGTGGGTTAGACTCCCGGACTACAGTGAGTCCCCTTAGACATTCCTCCTCCCTCCTCCCAGGCTTCAATCCTTTTCCCGAATAATTTACAATCTCCAGTCCAAAAGCTGCTCCTGATCGGTCTAAATGAAAGGCTTTGAGGCCAGCACAGCCCGAACATAAGCGGGCATCCCCTGGGGCATGGCCCATGGCGGGGCAATAAGAGGTGCCAGCAGACGGCCAAGAGTAAAGAGAGGTGGACTAAGGGCACCTGATAAAAGCCCGGGTAGATGGGGGAAACAGAGAGCAGATCAGCCGATGGCACGCGTTGGTAGCATGGGTTCCCGGGAGCACCTTTCCCACTGGAGGGCAGGAAGACTCCCCAAATTCGGGTCCAGAGACTTCAGCCGCAGTGCCTGAGGCTGAGGATGCCCCAACTGGAACTGCAGAGCCCTTTGAAAATCAGTCAAGACTTTCTTTATCGGCTTGTCCCGTGAAGCATAGCGTTTCGTCTGGAATAAATGCATTTGTGGGGGAGCATTTGGATAACCGAGGTGTGGTCTGTGGGTGCCCGAGGCAGGGAGGGTGTAATAGCGTGTCCAGAAGCATCCTCTCTGTGATAGTAAACGAGAGTTTATGAGAGCAAACAGTTTGAAGTTCAGCTCTGTGGGTTTTCCCCAAGTAGTCAGGCTATTATTATTGTTATTTATATTCATATAGCATCTAGTAGCCCAAGGTACTGCATTAAGTACTGCACAAACTCAACAATGGCTCTGTTAATTCTCAGGCGAAGCAAATCTCCCTCTGGGCCTGGTCGATAGACACAAAAGTGTCTAACTGACTTAATCAACATGAAAAATTCCCATTTAATTGCTGGGAGACTGCTCCGCGAGTAGGGTTACCTGCATGATTGTGTTTGTGATTAAGAATTCTGTTTCTATTCGGCAGAGCTGAACCAAAAATAGCTATTTTTTTCCCCCCTTGTGGTACTTTGACAAACATGAAAGAGAAACTCACATCTTCCGTGGAGTCTGTCTGCTTGTATAACAGACGAAATGGAAACACCAGGGCTATTTTTATCCTCAGCCCAACTTTTTGGATTTCGAGCACTTGGGCTGTTTGTCCATAAGCCCCTTTCTCTGCACCGATTCTACTGGAGGCGAGAAGACCTCGCTGGGATAACGAAAATGAGAGTCATGGGGGTGACATCTCAGTCAGAGAGGAGCCTCTTTGCACCCCCACCCTGAGACGAATCATTAGGCAGGCTGCTGAGCCTGCGCTTGCGGTGAATAACTCTATTTTAGTGTAAAAGCTGTGCACTGAGGGCTGAGCGCGGCAGCCAGAGGCAAGCTCTTTCCTCGCCTGCTGGGGAAGGCGTGGGGCCGCGTCGTGAGCTGGTCTCTCCCGTTGCGAGAGAGTCGACTTGTTGCATCGATGTTTTTATCAGGCCAGCTTTTACACTGAAATAAAATCCTGCTCCTTGCAGCGCTGGAGCCAACATTTTGGCACTCGAGGATGCTGTAACTGAAAGCAGAGACATTGCGGAGGTTGATGTCTGCTCGCGGCTGGAGCAGATCCGCCACGACAGAGGAAGCACGGGCCGTGGTGCGGGGGGAGGCGGGCAGCGTCCCCATCCCGCCGGCAGGCGCCCCCCCCCCCCCGCCGGCAGCAGCTTGAAAGCTTCATTGTGGCGGTGCACGTCACCCTCTGGTCCCGCAGAGGAGGAGGGGGTGCCGGAGGCGGGAGACAGACTTTTAGAAAGCTGGACCCAGCCGGAACACCCCGTTCCCGTGCCGCTTGGCGGGGGTGCCCAGCAAGCGGGGCGGGTGGAAGAGGCAGCTGGGGGGGGGACGGGGGAGCTGGGGACCAAGAGAGAAAGACTCTGTCCTCTCTGCAAAGTATGCTGGCAGGCCCCGGCTGAAGGTGCAGGAGCGTTGGGTTACACAGCACAGGCAAAATGAGCGTCATTTCTCTCTGCTGCAGTCGGTGACGCTGTCAGCTCCCTGGCGTGACGGGTTACTGAGCCTTAGGGACAGGACATCCCAGATCCCTCCGGTTTTCACCTGCCTCCCTGTCTCTGAGCTCATCCCTGTGCTCACAGCGGGGGCTTTTCCTTCGCTTTGCATCCAGGCTTGCAATTTCGCGGTCTGGTCAGGCTGACCTAATCCTCAAGCCGCATTGGCATCCACTCCATCACTGTTGCCCACTTGCCCCTGTGCTCAGTTCTGCTTCAGCCTGTGTTTCAGGGACTGTCTGCCCTTCCAGCTCCTCTGCCCCCTGAAGCATTTTCCTCTGCTAACATTGCTAACCTCAGTGTCTCCCAAGTTTCCTTCTCTGCTCCTTATCTTCACCTCTCTCAGACTCCTGGACCCGTGTCTGCTAAGTGCTGGCACATTCTCATTCGTAGCTTCCTCAAGCTCTTGGTGCAAAAGAATGAGAGGTAAAACAACAAAAGCTGTCTCCGTTAGAAAATATCAAAGGACTAGCTCCTTCCCATCTTGCTGCATGGACTCCTTTTTGTCTTTCTGACTTCCAGACAGCAAGATTGTTAGATGAAGGCATGACCTTGGTAAGAGAAGAAAGGAAGGCACAGAAAGAATATGTAGTTTTGAGGTTAAGGCATCATTTTGGTAATTTAATTTTTCTAAGCCTCCATCCTCATGAATAAAACAGACATAGAAGGCAGGGGAATGGTAGTTTTGGTTATGTGTAGGTTGCTCATGTGTGTTAATAACATGGCCTTGTAAGAACCAAGTTATGCAATGCCTTTAAGGTGTGTTTCCAGCATGTTTCAAGGATGTGCACAGCCATCTCAGCGCTAAGCGATGGAGTCTGTCCAGTGTGGCTATGCCCACGTTACCCTTACAAATAAGCCAGGGTCTGTTTTCTGTCTCTGGGGACAGCGCAGGACATGGCTTGCACCCAAAGAGCTGAAGTCTCTTGTACCCCTCAACTCCCCCCTCTCGACTGAGTGCCCTCGTCCAAATGTGCTCTGGGGCTGGACCTTAGCACAAGCACAAGCATCGCCTGGGGCATGGCACGGCATGGGATAAAGCTGTGCTAAGGCACCTGCTAGTGGTTAAACAGGGACCAGATGACCCTGGGCTGTTCTTCGAGCCCAAGTCCTGAGCAGGCTTTACCCTCTTGCACATCTCCTTTGGTTTTAGTTCGGGTCTTTATCATTCTACTTTTTTTTTTCTTTCTGAGCTATTGTGTTTTAATTAACTGTTAATTCCTTGGGCTAGCCTGTGGCTATTTTTGTGGGGGAGGGGAGAGGGAAGAAGGAATGACTTGCTTCAGGGTTTTTTCTTGGTTGTATCTGTCTCCATTTATTCTCCTGTTCTTTTAGGCTGTCTGGAGGTAATGGCTCTTAGCATGCTTTATAAATCATTCTGCAGGGACTTTGAGTGACCGTTTTATTTAATAAGTACAGAGAAGTGGGCTTTTATCCCTGCAAAAGAGGTGGCAAGTTCACTGTAATTTCCACTGGATTACTGTATTTGGGGTAGAAGAAGTAGTAGAAGACTCAAAGATATTGGTCTTACAGCAAGTTCCAATTGTATTACCTTCTCTTTTACTTGCTACTTGATCCATAGGAGCATCAAAGTTATTTACGTTGGAAAACAGCACTTTGATTTAATAGCACATAGGCAGGGGTACTTGGAAGGAATTTAAAAGCTCACTTTGAAGAGTTGTGCCAGTCTGAAAACCTGAACATTAATGCTCTTGAGCTTTGGAAAAAGGTGGATCTGCAGCCACATCCAAATGCTGCAGCTCACCTCCATTTCTAGACTGTGTCAGAGCAAGTCCAGAGAGCTGAGATTTCTTGCAGAGGGCAGGAAACAGGGTTCAGCTACAGGGATTTCAAAGTGAAATCTTTATTCAGGCTGCTGGAAACTGGCATCCTGGCTTCTTGTGTCCTGGCTGCCTGGGATACCCACCTCTGTTACACAGGCTCAGAGTCCAGGCAGGGACCTCACTCTGGCTGCCAGGTCTGACTATATTGGTCAGACTTTGCATCTTCTTTATAAAATGCTGGCTTCTTTATAAAATGGTGAAGCCACTGCAGAAAGAGAGAGCACAATGCTGGCCTACAGCAATTTAAAATCGACTTGAAATGAACCACTTACGGTCATCGTGTGGATTTCGAATGATTGCTAAGTGGGGATCACATTCATCCCAAAAATATCAGAAAAAGTGCTACACATCTCAAGAAAGGTTTCACTACGGTATGCAAGGTCTTGGGTCTCAGCCACAGCTAGTCCAAGATGCAACTAGGCTTTAGCCCTGCTCGCACCCAGATTAGCTATGAGAAATAACCAGCTTCGTAGGTCATAGGAAGTGGTTTCTTTCCAACCACAGAAGAAGAGCAGAACGAACTCTGAAGACATTGTGGCTTTAGCAAATGTGTAGCTGGGCCCAGCAGCCCCATGTGTGCCAAGCACCGCTAGGCTTCAGAGGAAAGTCTGTGAAGAAATGATGCCATGGATACTTTGTGGTGGTCAGCATATCAGCACGTCTGCTTTGTGACATCTCTTCTGCAGGCAGTCACACCCATTTGTTTTTCAGTTTCGGTAGCTCTCTGTGTGGCTATTGCGGAGAGATGTAGAAGTCCTATCAAGTACAGACCTGTGCCTTTTTTCTTGTGAGAAGTAACGAGAGAGCAGGTGGCCAAGCAGGCAGTTGTAACAGTGGCTGTACCCCCGGCTCCTTGATTTTCATCCTTGAAAGGATGAAAATCGTTTTTTCAGGAGTAACATCCAGTGCTGTAAAAGCCAGGCTGTTCTGTGCACCCCTCTGGCATCAGCATCCTCTCTGTGATAACTTACAGGTTTTGAATAAAGACAGAAATTCACAGATTTTTTTTTTCCCTTGAACACTCATCTGCCATGGAGCATCTCAAGAAATTAAATGCCCAACGATGCCTGAAATACTTCTATGGCACGGGGTGCTTCATCACACTTCACAGATAATCGTATTCGCTCTTTTTGTTTGTTTCTTTGGAGGATGCGTGCTTGCGGTGTCTGTAATTGAACAGCTTGCACAGTGGCACAACAGTACAGTAAAGGCAGCCATGGAGAGACTGTGCAACTACATACCTGGTAAGTACCAAATAATACGCCATATGTTATGTTGGTACTGCTTGCTGTATTTCTCTGTTAATTAAAAATTCACACGTGGAGTCTGAAAAAGCTTTAGCCACTTGTCGTGCAGCATCTCAAATGAATGTAGCTGAAAGATAGCAAGGTACTATCTGCAGGGAAGTCAGTGGCGTGGCTCACTTGGCTTCAGAGCTGGGATTTTGTCCCAAAGTTAGAGTGAATGTGGTTGTATTAAGCCCACATGCGTGTGAGCACCAACACATGCAGACCCCTTCCCTCCCTTTTTCTCCACTCTGTCTCTTTGTTAGCAGCTTAAGAATAGATTCACTGTGTGCCCAACCAATCCTCTTTCTTGTTGATATGGGTCTTTATAGCAACTGTGAAGACGAAAATGTTTTCAGCAGGTATAGGAAGCCTCTATTGTAAAACCTCAAAAATGAGCTGAGGTTGACAGGTGTAAGATGTGAACATTTGGTCTGCACAGAAAAGCTATTGAAATGTAACTGATGATACAAATTTCAAAAGCGATAGCTATTCCATATGAATATATGTAGACTCCCCTTTTTCTGCCCCTTATTTTATCTGCCCAAAGAAGCTTAGCTGTCCAAATGCACATCCCTAGATAGAGAACAGTTTGAATGCCAGAATAGCTTTGTGCCTCACAGACAAATCCTATAACTATTTAAGTAACTAGATCTCACATTCATGATATCTTTTTAATGTTATGAATGTAAAAAGATGGCTTAGGATTCTTCGTTAAAATGTCATTTATATAGGACTTCACAAATTGTATCTCTGAGAAACCATCTTGCTCTGTAGACCCTAGTTTCACAGAAGATGTGTGTAGAATATTAATTCCCTCCTTTCCAAGAGAGGATTTCCCGATGCAGGATGGGGCAGGGAGGTAATTGCTGGGATTCATTCATTGATAGAATGACGCTTATCTGATTTCTATTCCATAAGTTATAGCCTCAGCGTTTTAAATTACAGGCACATAACCATGAAGTTACAATTAGAAGCACTGATCCTGCTATTAAAATACAATTTGCTTCTTTAAAATATGACATGCTAGCTCTATGTTCATGATTCACTCAGTGGACCTTGTTCCACTGACATGTCAAGATATTTCTTTTCAGCTGCCATTCTTTACACACATAAAATCCTATTATCCCTTTAGTTAAATCTGTATAATCCAGTTACCTTCTATGAGATGCATGGATACACCCAATAGAAAATAACTGACCCTGAACTTGAAAGGAGTGAAAAATCCTATGGATTGTGTGGGAGCTACAGTGTAACCCAATTTATCCTCTCCCG